TGGCACTTGCAGCCCATAACAAGCTATTCTTATTAACATTTTTTCTGGGCTGGGATTAAGTTGGAAAAGAGACAGGAATGACATTTTGCTTAAACCACTTTAAAAAGTAAGCAGCAGCTCTACCATTTAAAGTTTATATTGAATCAGCTCCTAGATGTATAGAAAAAAAAGGGATCTTTAGGACATAGGACATAAACACAGACACGTATTGCTATACAAAAGCTCCAACTTTGATGATTTGCAATGGGTAGGATTTTTGATACTGCCTCAGCTCAAGCCACACACACACACAATTACTGCCTCTGCACTGACACACCAGGAGAACATTTTGTTTTCCCCTTACCCATCCACAATTACATAGATTTGTTAATTGCATCAATGTGACAAGGAGGAGGCAACAAAAGCTGAAAAGGTGTTCTCTTCACTAGTATGTGCCAAAGATCACGGTAACAAACCGAACTATGAACTATATACTATATAGTTCATAGAACTATACCGAACTATGAGCTATATACCTAAGACTCTGCCTGGAGCTCTGATCAGGAGCAGCCAGACCAAACTCCAGACAAGGACAACCTAGAGCCAGTGTGTTAACTTCTTCTGCCCCTCTTCCGAATGGAGGATTCATCTCATTACATGGGAGAAAGAAAACACCACCAAAACTCATCCCATGACCATTCACGGCTTGGGTTTATGTTTCACAGTGGCCTGACTAACTTAGACTGATCAGCTGTGATTGCTTGAGTCAGAGCAGCTGAGAGACATGTTTGTAGCAATGAGGTGCCACTATTGGGGCTGAGCAGATTCCTGTTCTTTCCCGGTGCTGCCATTTGGCAGGACTCACTGAGCTACTCAGAAAATAATGCTAAAATTCCTCCCTGGGCAAATGCTAATACACTCCATCAAGTTCTGCTTCCATACAGCCAGGAAGCTCTGTGCTCCTGTGTGCTTGATTTCAAAGTTCTTTAAGGAGTTAATCAGCATCATTCAGCTGCGCGGGGTAAAGCTGCAGAGTGTCGGTGTTGAATAAGCAGCTCTGGCTTTTAGAGCCCCTCAGCTGCCCATTTCCTCAGGCACAGGCCTGGGGTTGTGGAGGGAAGAGAGACATCTGTGGCAGGACCACAGCTGCCTAAAACTCCAGAGCATCCTGCTCCAATGTCAGCTTGGGAACCAGAGCAAAGGTTTCTGGTGGGTGATATGGGAGCAGGAGCCGAGCCACAACTTCTGCACTGTGAAAGCCTAATTCATATTGGGCCAGGGAGGTTTCAGCTGGCCACAGCTCCCAGCAATTTCCTACAACTGCACAGTGAGAAGAAGCAAATTCTCAGGAAAAAGACAATACAATGAAAAATCAGGTTTGTGTCCTTCTGCAGCTCCCATACATTCCCCCTGGGGCTCCGAAATTTCCCCACAAGGAAGTGAATCAGGCTGCTTTCAGAGGAACAGAAGATAAAGCTAGGGAAACAAAACCCGCACTGAGGCTCCATAGCCTCTCACTTTTGCTATTTCTACCCTCATCCTTCCTTCTGCCCATATTATCCTCTGAATCTCCTGGGACATCAGCTCTTCAAGATGGGAACTACCTCCATACCCCCTGCCATGCAGAAACACACAAGGAATATCCAAAATCTAGGCTAGTCCTACATTGTTCCCAGCAATCCAACTCTCCTGAAAGAATTCCTCGTCATTTTCAGATACGCCGCATTGTGCAAGTTGCCATAAAATGTTTATACATTGTATCCTCCGACCTATTTAACACATCCAGCTGCTACAGAGAGGCAGGAAGAAAGAAACCCAGACCCCAAGAACACAGACAAAAAGTAGGTTGCAGAAATCCCCTCTCTTTCCGTAGGAAGTTTAACTCATGGAGAATGAGAAATAAATCCAAAATTATCTACGGGATGAATTTAAAACATGGAGAAATGATCTTTCTTCAGTCACTTCCTCTGTTCCCACGTTCCCACCAAACAGTCAAGAAAGCTTTGCCACCCCAAAGCTAGTCTTGTTAACCAAAGGGAAAAACCCCCACATGCTAGAAAACAAACAGCTGCCTCCATCTCCCATCTTCAGTGCCCTGCGAGGTTCAGAAACCACCGAGAGCTATCTCAGCACACAGGATGCACATTCACCAGGTGCTCCTGCGGTCTGGCACCCTCACCTGCCACTGCTCCTGCAGCCGCCCCAACCCACTGCTGCTTCCCCACTCACCCACCCATCTGATAAGAACACAAACTGCGGCACCAGGCTCCTACCTGAACTTGCAATTCACACTCTCCTGCTCCTACTAATACAACTTGGAAATAAATAGCAAATCAGCTGCCAGAAAAATAAGAAAATTAAAAAAAAAAATTGAGGAGGAGAATGGGGAAGACGAGACCTCTCTAACAACAGCAGAACAGCAGAATTTGGAAGATTTTGAATCCTTGTCAAACACCCTCTTCCTTCCAAAAGCTGCACTGAAATTAGACTTCCATTTTTTTTTTATTATGGTTTATTAGGCAAGTTGTGTCTGACTATAGATTTCTACTTTTAATTTTGCAAAGCAAGCTTTTAAAGCATGTGCCTTTTTTTAAAAAAAAGGAAAGGCTTTTTTTTCCCCCCTCTCTACATATGGTGATGAAAGTAACTTTTTTCCCTTTCCAGGAAAGCTTTGCTCTCCCTTCTCATAGATGGTCCTTGCCCTGTGTCTGGACGCCGCTCCCCAGGGGTGCATCCCCGGGGCAGTTTGCAGTCAGCAGGTCCTTCCAAGGTGGAAAAAAAGATTCAGCGCCCCAGGGCGCCTTTTTAATCCCGGCTAACACCTCCAGGCAACAGATGCATCAACAAGAAGCGTCTTTGTCATGCAAATAGCAGGGCGCAGGTACACACCAGGCACAAATGGCTGGGGACTAGTGACACCCCAGGGGAGACCTCTGCCTCCGGTGCTTGCTGATCTCAGCTGCTGCTTGCCCTGGGAAGGGGAGGCAGAGCAGACCTGGAGGGCAGCGGCCGGGACCCCGCGGAGGTGAGCGCGGCGCCGGAGCCGCGGAAAGGCACGGGGAGAGCGAGCGTGTCACCTCCCGCACGCCGCGTTTTGATCTTGCGCGCATTAAAACCCAACTGTCAGCAACGAGCCTAGCAAAGATTACAGTTCAATTAAACAAAAAAATTATTTAATAACTCAAGCGTGTAGCCTTGAGGTTAAACTGAAAGAACTCCGGGCTTATGTCAACATTGCAGCCCTGCAACAGCACTGTTTTATTGAAACAGTGGTGCTGCTGTAACACGCAAGAGCAGCACTGAACTAAATTAGCCCCTCAGATGTTCAGCAGGCAGCTTTGCAATTAAAAACAAAACACGTTTTCCCCCCTTCGTCCCCTCCACCACACCCACAAAGGGCAGTTCCTCAAGAGCCTCTGCAAGATGATATTCTGAGGGCACTGATGCCAGATCTGTACAGAGTGGCAGCCTCACGGCATTCATATATGGAGAAAATCCTCGGAGTATAATTAAATTGGATTTTGCTGTTCTAAGCCATGCACCAGCACTCAGGACTTTGTTAGGAAGGTAACAAGGCAAAGAGGGGGCAAAAAAAAAAGTCTGAAGTTTTCTAGTCCTCCAAAGGGTGGGTTTGAGCCTCGATGCCCTCTTGAAAAGCTGCATGCTTTTCCCTATGATACATCCAAAAGGAAGTTTTATGTAGAACAACGTTTACAACAACAAATATCAACAGACTGTGATCATCATGCTTCACCCTAAATGGCTGTAGGCCTCTGAACTGGAATTTATACACAAAAAAAAAACCCCACAGCTATAGAAAGCAATATATTGCATGAGTCTTTGCATCTTTCAAATGCAGATCCATATGTTTTGCAGTGCCAAAGCACCCTGTCACTCTGACTCCAAATATACACTAATTTAACATGTTTCACTGCTGTCAAATTACCAGCACAGATCAGGCCCCCTTCTTTTTGTTTTTGAAGTCGAATGCCACAGTCCTGAATAAAAATCAAGAATGTCAAAGAGCACAACAATGCCATGACAGAGTGGCATGACAGAGACCTCCAAGAAAAAAATCTAGGAGCCAGTAAGAGGGAAAACTGCTTTATCACAGGGAAGTAACAGCATCCAACTCCTCCTCTCACAGCACGCACAACGGCGGCGGCATTTTTCCAGCACGATGCCTACAAGCAAATTGTTTCCTGCTCCACTCAGGTTCTACTAATATAATTTCCACAGCTCATTTTAACACTGCCTCTCCATTGCTCTATATGTATACCAAGAGGCTTACAAAAATAAATGGGGATTGAATTAAATACCCAGAATTAAAAGTACATTTAAATCCATTAAACATGAATCTACACCAATGGAAACAGAGGGACCAACCCGGAAGAATCAGTGCTCGCCACAATGTAAGGGAAAGCTGTAACTACTGCATCATGGTTGATATTAATTCCTAAACGACCATTTCACAATTTCTGGCTGAAGATACAGAGTATGTTTCAAAGCAATGCTGCCAGATAGATAAAGCCTTCACGCAGACCAACTGATGGTGGAAATAAATATCAATCAGCAAAGAGCAACGCCACATCTGAAGCAAAGAAAATAAAAAAATCCAATCTTCTCATCTTACTGTCATGTAACTTTAGCAGTTCCGCTTCCAGCCCTTGATTTTCCTCAACAAACGAAGAGTTAAAGCCAGAAAATTCACATCTGTCCCAGTCATTACAAAGACAGCATTTACATCATTCTGCCATACATTATCCTACAGTAGTAAACCAGAGCTCCCCCCACAAAGCCCCCAGCCCTGTTCACAGACATTAATCTCAGCTTTTCCACTGTGATCACGACCAACACCTCTAAGAGCTCTCAAACTCCACTGGACAGAGGCTCTGAACAGCAGAAGCTCAACCTTCACTGTCACTGAAGCTAGCCAAAAGACCCCATTGTAAACAGGCTCTGCAGACCAAACAGGAGGAAACCCAGCTTGCCAAAACCAGCTTTTGGAAGAGATAACTCACTGTTCTGGGGATGGGTGGCGACAGAGATCCATTAGGCATGTATGGGTCGTTATTCATATTTGGCATCATGATATACCCAGAATAACCAGAGTACGATGGTCCCTTGCTGTATAAGCCATTGTCTGGATGTTTTCCTATGGAAGATGAAACAATGATTACATGATTCCCCATGTATGCATTTCTCACAATTTAGAGCACTCAAACAGGTACTGTGCATATATAAAAATGTTCTACATGCAAATGTTTCTTTACTCATGGAAATTACTGCTGACAGAAAAATGATACAAAGCAATTTGTAAAAACATTTTTTTTTTAGGAAGAGTAAATTGTTAAAAGAGCAAGTATTCTCAGTGAGGAGTTTATGTTTAAAATACACAATAGCCCCAAAATAAACAATTTTGCTAGTACTCATTGAAATCAAAGTAGACACATCAGCAATGACATCACATTTCTCAAGTAGCAGTTTTACCTAATTTTATACGTGCCTCTAGGATTTGTCAATTCAGAATTATTGCCACTATGGGTTTCCAACATCATTGTTAGGAAAGGGAGGACAAGGCTGTGATAACTAGATATAATAATTTCCTTCTCTTGCTGAGACAGTGTGTGCAGCAAACAATTCATTCTGACTATGCTCATAGGGAACAATTAAAGGGCAGGGGGTGGCTTGGAAGGAGATCCTTACAATTTGGGAGGGAGGCTGTTAAACACACATGGTACTACAGCCAAGAGGGAAACCCCATGAGGGAGGCTATCTGGTAGGGAAAAAAAAGTGTTTGGGTCCAGGTCCTGCAAATAGGGTGAACAGGTCTCCCACCTACATGCCCACTGACAAGGATACTACTTGAAAGTGAGGTTTTAAGAAGATGCAGAGCTGAAAACTATCCAGAGCTGAACACCTCCCCCTCACTGCCCAAATGCAATGAGCATGGACATTATTGCTTTGAGGCTATTTAATTACAAATTTGGAGGAAGATGGCGAGAGAGTCCTGGAAAGCACCAGGACTGAACTCTCTCTGTCTTTATATGGAATTTATAATCTGGTTTAGTTTGTGATGATAAGCTTTTGATTTTAAACATAATCTCCCACCCTTCACAGCACACATTCTTTGCATGCGTGTCCAGCTTCCTAAATGATATTTGATGAACTCTGCTACTTCCTCTGTCCTCCTCAATTGAAATTAACCATTTGAGACATTAAAAAATGCAGGAGATCTGCTCATACTTAGATTTGAAAAAGGAGATTTAAGTGACAGACTTTGGCTATGGGGAAAAGCAGAGGGTTTCTGAACACAACTGTACACTGTATGAGTGAAGAAATAGATGTATTTAAGGTGATATCCTAAAAATAGTTACTTCTTCAGTGAAGATCCATTTGGCCTACTTATCAGTTTCTAAACAACTGGAATACCATTTGGTCACTCTAGATAAATGCACTGCACGTTCGTCTCCTTTTTAAATGCACTTTCAAAACACTTTGGCATCCCTCCCCCCCCAAAAGATATTAAATTTATGTTTTCCAAAAGAAACCAAGTTCCAGTTTGAGGACTGTGTGGCGGGTCACAGAGGGACAACACTGCAAGACGGGACTGTGCGAGTCTCACCTTCCTCGGGGTGTTCTCTGCCTTTATCATGGTAGGAATCCTGTGCTTGAGTCTGCCTGGAAACCTGACCACAAGGAATCCACCATCAGAAAAGAAGAAAAAGAAGAAAAGTCATTGTATGGATTGCTGTTTATCAAACACGCTGCTACAGTTTCTTGAAGGAAGAGAGGATTTCAGACCACAAGATTAACATCTTTCTTTTTCCTCCTAAGTCGCTTGGAAGGCAACTGTTCCAGAATCATTTGTGTAAACTATTGTTTTATGACAACGTGAATAACTACAGGGCTTTGCAAAGCATTTCTAGCAGAAGCACCCTGAATTTAATGGAAGTGGATCATTTCTGGAAAATATTTGGCACTCTGGCGGTCAAAACGCTCTTGGTAAAAAGATACCAAAAATAATAATGAAAATCAGGTTGCCCTCCTTAGCAGATGTTTAGGGGAAAAAAAAGAAAAAAAAAAAAAAAAAAAAAAAGAAAAAAAATTAAACAAAATTTTTAAAAGGCAGGTTCCCCGCTCGCCCTGAAGTTATTTTAGAGTCGGGAATTTCTTCCCTAACAGTTTTATGCAAATCCCTTAAAGAGTTTACAGCTAACGCTCCGACCCCGCTGATTTTACTGAGGAAATTTCATGGCTGCTTGAGGTCTAATACCACCGCACCGTCGGGGAACTCGCGGCAACTTTCTCATCCCGGGCCGAAGCGCGGAAGGAGCTCTGCCCGGCACATCTCTGGAGACAGGATTTGGGGTAGAACGAGCTCTTTTCCTATGGGAAATGTTTCCCCGGTGCCCCTCCGAAGCTCCCTCCCCGCGGCGGGGCCGGAGCCCGCCGGCACCCCGCGCCCCCTCCGTCCGCGCTGCCCGCGGAGCCCCCGCGCACCTCGTGCCCGTTGGCGCCGGGGGCGATCTCGGACTCGTTGACGAGGGAGGACTTGATGTCGGCCAGGTCGCCCTCCTCCTCGGGGTGGCTGATCTCGGCGAAGATCTTCTCTTTCTGGGGGTCCCCCTCGTCCTTGAAGGGGATCATCTCGTCGGTGGCGCAGAGCTCCGGGTCCCCCCCGCCGCCCCCGGCCCCCGGCAGCTGCGGCATCCTCACGGCAGCGCGGCGTCTGCTGCGGCCGCCGGCCCGCCGCGGGAAGGGGAGCGGGCGGAGCAGCGGGGGGAGGAGGAGGAGGAGGGCGGAGGAGGAGGAGAGAGGAGGAGAAGGAGGAGAGAAGAAGGAAAAATCCCGTGAACTCCTCGGGGCTGCTCTCGACAGCCGGAGACCCCCGCCCGCCCGTCCGCCCGCCCCCTCGGGGCCGAGGTACCCCGTCTTCCGCACGACACCGACGTCCCGGGACCCTCGCCCCAACGCGCCGCACGGCCGGAATAGGTCGAAATACGCTCGCCCGTGTCCCGACCGCGCCAGGGACCGCCCCCCAGGAGACCCGACCCCCCTCCATCCCCCCGGGACCCGGGCTCACCCCGGGGGCGAGGAGACGCGGAGGGGAGCGGAGCCCGCCCGCGTTTCCCCTCCGAGCGAAGTTGCCACCACCCCGGCGGGACCGAGTTAAAATGGCTGGGGGGAGGCGGGCAGGGGGAGGGGGCGTCCCGGGGGAAGGGGCCGGCGCTGCCCGTGCCGCGCACCCACCGGGCCTTTGTCCGCCGCTTCGTCCGCGGCTCCGGGCACGGCTGGGCTCGGCTCGGCGGCACCGCGAGGGGCGGGGGGCCGGGGAAGAAACAGCCCCGGGAGGGAGGGAGAGCAGGAGGGGAGGGATGGAACGGGCGGGGAGGTGACCCCCCCCCCCCCCCGCTTCCCTCCACGCCCGCGGGCAGGGGAAAAAGTTGCCGGCACGGCGCCCCCGGCCGCCTCCGCGCTCAGCGCCCGGCGCGGGGCCTCCTCCTGCCGCAGCCGGCGGGCGCGGCGCCCCACGGGGGGCGGCGGTGGGGCGCGGGGCGGCGGCGGCAGCGCAACTTCAGCATCGCTCCCGCCCTCCCTCCCTGCGCCGTCGGGGCGGGGCGGGGCGGGGGCGGCGGAGATGAAAGGGACCGCCGCCGTGACTGACACTGTGTCCGGGCCGGGAGGGCCGAGCGGCGGGGGCGGGGAGAGGAGGGGGCTGGGGCCAGCGCCAGCGGGGAGGGAGGAGGGGGCGGGAGGGAGCGGGTGCGGGGCTGCCCCCGGGCAAACTTTGCTCTGGCTGCGCGGAGTAGCCTCTGTGTCCGTGTGTGTACCTACACGCACATGTGTGCGTTTGTGTGTGCGTGTCCGCGTCGCGGGGGTGCGCCGGGTCGCTGCCGCTCCTCTCCCTTCCCAGCTAAGAGCCCGCCGAGGAGGGCACAGGCACTAGCTGCATCCCCGGGAAGGGCGGACAGACCTGCTTTTTTAGGGCTGCTTTGTTGAGCCTTCCCCATCGCCACATGGCGCTGCTCCGGTGTGGGAAGTGTGCGAGGGGTTGACTAGGCTCTGCCCGCGCCCGCATCGGACGAAGGGCAGAATTAAGACATCCCCATTGAATCCAGCAAGTGCCCGGCAGAAACGAGTGGTAGCCCCTGAGAGACGGGGAGAAACCCGCCGGGGTGAGCTCGTCCCAGTTTCGGAGCGGTAAATGGAGCCAGAGCAGTAAGGGAGATTTACCCCTCCACCCTGTCCCGTTCCTCCAGCACCGCGCTGCCCCGTTAGCTCCTGACTGATCCAGCATCAGCCGGCGACAGGGCACGGGTGCAGTAAAAAAAAAATCATCCAGACAAAAGCAGGCGCTGCGCTTGGGGAACGTCAGGATCCGCAACTTTTATTTTGCGAACACCATGGGCGCACATTTTGCAGGAAACAACTTCCCAGTATTTTGGCATCGGAAAAGTGCGCTTTGTGCTTTGCACATGCCCCGTCAGGTTGCTAAACCTTCAAGCGCCGGGAGCCGGAGGAACGGGAACATGTGGATGCTCAATCCGTTTTCGGCAGATGCTGGGTTCGGCACGGCGGCACTGCCGGCCGGGACACGGGCGGGCTGAGCCCGGCTGCCCACGCCGCCGCCCGCGGCTCTCCGTAATCGTCCTCGAATGGGTAATTAAAATCCAGCTGAGAAATTAGACCCTCCAAACCCCGAGAAAGGGAGCGAGGTAGCGGGAAACGGGGGGGTGGACTTGCCAAGTCGAACAAGTGCGTGAAATAAATGATCGAGAAAGGAAGAAATTAGAAATGTAACTTCTGGGAAAGGGCTTAATTGTGCAGTGCTCCCCAGATGCAGGGAGCCCCCCTCTCTCCCGGAGACGGCTGCAGAGAGGCGATGGAGAAGCGGTTGTTTGGAAAACGACAGACAGCTCGGGGATGGTTCCTGAGCGGAGATGCGCATCTCCGCATCCCTCCCGCCCCTCTTCCCTTTCCTGGCGCTCGGCGGGCACCGGACACCCGGGGCGGGCAAAGCTGCCCCGGGACGCTCCCGTTCTGAAAAAAAGACCTTCGCTGAGAGGCTGAGGTTTGGAACCCGCTCGCCCGACGGGGCGGCCCGGGAGCAGGCAGCGTGACCACTCCTCCGTTTCATTACCGTGTCCCTCTGGAAAAGCAGCCTCCCCCCGCCCCTCCGCCGTGCCTTTACGTGGGCTGGAGTCTTTCCCGGATCGGTTTTTTGGTGGAAGGATTTGGAAGGCAAAAAAGGGCCGGGGTGGGGGCGGCGGGACCGGGGCGGGGGAATGTGTGTGTGGAAACCGTAATGATTTACGACAAAAAGATAAACTCAGGAAACGTCAACTCCAACGTCAGATTTGTCTGGAGACAACGCAAAGCTGTCGCTTTACTCGCAGTCCTTGGGGCACGGCCGGAGGCGGGGGGCAAGGCCCGGGGTACGGGGACGCCCCACGCTGGCCCCGCTCTCGCCCCCGGCGGGACCCGCCGCCCTCCCCGGGCCACCGGGAGCGCGCCCGCCGCCGTGCCCGGCGCCCGGCTCCGCAGCGGCTACCGCGCCGCTCGGTACTTTCGTAGCGGCGATTTTTGCGCTTTAGGTGTTTCTTATTTTTTTTCTCTTTTGCTTTAAGCGTGAGTTTGTATTTTCTCGTGGTTTTGTTTTTGTTTTTTGTTTGTTTGTTGGCTTTGTTGTTTAATTCTGGACAGGTTTTGCTGGGGTTTTTTTGGTCGTTTGAGTGGGTTTTAGCGTTTCAGAGTGAGTTGAGGAGTTTTTGTTTGCTGGGTTTTTTTGCATTTTCAGCGTTGAAGGGACCCGCACTTGGAGCACTCCCCGACGGCCAGCCCGGCTTGCCCGGGCTCAGGGCGGCGGGCGCGACCGGGGAGGGCAAACCCGATTCGGGCGGGCTGGGCTCCAGCGCTCGGGACAGCGGGACGAGCCCGCGGAGCTTCAGGGGGGCTGAGAGGGGGGACCCGGGGTGCCGATGCCGACCCCTCCGGGGGCAGTGAGCGGGCGGGGGGACACAGGACACTCTCGCGTGCGAAGCGGCGTCCGCCGGCGGCGCCCCCTATATAGGGGAAGGGCGGGAGTGGGGCGGGGCGGCGGCGCCTTTGATGTCCCGCCGGCGGCCCCTTTCATCCCCCCCCGGTTCCCCCCCCCGAGCTCTTTGTGTGACTAAATTTGGCAGGAGCATGGAGGCGCGCCAGGGCGCCCACGTGTGCGCCGAGCTCCCAGCTGAGAGAGCCGGGGTTTTCTTCCGGGTAAGGAGACAGCGGGGGAGATCAAAGAGTTTGGGGAGCTGGAGCCGAAATGTGCAGTGGAAATAAAGTGAAATTAAATAAATAAATAAATAAATAATAGAAAAGGGGGGGGAAAATAATTCCTCCGTCCTGGACGCGTGCCAGTCAGAGGCAAGGGGGAGCAGGGGGAGCACATAGTGGTCGGGGGGACCGGCGGGAGGGAGGAGGGAAAAAAAATATTCTCGGAAAAGGGGGTTGCAGTTGTTTTCTGAAAAGAAAAATAAAAGAATAAAAAGCAACCAACGAACCAGCAGACCAAGCCTTTTGTTTAAAGCCGCCGGGCTGTGGAGCCAAGCGGGCTCCGCCGGGAAGAGCCGTCCAGGAGCGCGGCCGGGCCAGGGCTGCGCGGCCGCGGGGCAAAACTCCCCCGTACTGCCCGAGAAACGCTGGGCAACCAGCGGCAGATATCCCCTTCTCCCGCCCGCCAGGCCCGTTCCGGGGTTCCAAGGGAGTCTTTCTGGGCAAACCCCCCGCGGTTTTTCCTCCCCCTCGGAAGCGATGCCGAGGGTGGTACCCCGAGGGGTGGGTGTCCCGGGGGCCAGGCGCCCTTTGCGGCAGCCCACGCTGCTCCCCGCGGCTCCCCGGCGGGCACAGCGCTGCCGAGGGACAGCGGCGCTTCTCTCCGAGCTGGGCTGGCACCGCCGGGCTGCGCCACGGGAATCCCGGGGCCCCGCTGCCCTGCACACCCTGCCCCCCCGGGCCTGCGGGAATGCTCACCCGGCCCTCGCTGCTCCCTCAGGACTGCAAAGCACAACAAAGAGTGTTAGGTTTTAACATTTCTCCAATCGAGCCTTCTCGGTGCCTTTTCAAGGCAATGTGACTGAATTATGCGTGTTCCCCGGGTCTGCGTTTGCCACCCCGTTTAGATAACACCCGTGATTTATGTGCAAGTTGAATGTATAGGCTGAATTCCCAAATTCCTTCTGAAGCAAATAAATCCTCCTCCTTCAGGACATGGGGTGAGCAGGGCCAGAGCAGGGATGTGATGATTAGCCCTGGCTCTGCAGAGTTATTGCTGGTGTCCTGCACATCCCGCTGCTGCACAGCATCACTGGGGAGCCAGCCCCGGGCTGCCTCAGCTTGTATGGATGTGTTTGCAAATGTGGACCTGTCCTGTGCCTCTAAAACAAGGATAATACCTCTAAGGCATTTTCTACCCTGTGAGAATAAATGCATTGTTGTGTTTAAAGAGACTCTTCTGATAAACACCATAGGGAAAGCTGTAAGTAACAGTTCAGGATTTTTGGGGGGAAAACCCAGTGTCCTCTCTCACTCTTGTGTTGTACCAGGCACAATCCCTTTGGTGGTGCAGTTCCTTTTACAAGCACAGTGTCCAGATATCTGGCATGCCTTTGGATTTGGGGCAGGTTTGGACTGCAGGCACTGTGGCTCACACTCCATGGCCTATGCCCAGC